TCTTGGCAGGTAAGATGTTTAAAGCATTTTCCTCCGCATTTTCTTCCATGTTTTCCTGGGCGTTAACCATCAGATTCCATTTGCTACACAACTTTTTGTGAATACATCAGTAACAAGATGTACTGGCTGTAAAGAGTCCTTTTATATCACCAAAACAGGCATGCAGACTCACTGTGCCTTTCACTGGCTGTAGTTGACATTTTTAATCTCATCGGCTTTCTTCTCGCATTTATCTTTTGCAATAATGAATTCCCTTTTTGTTAGAACTCTTTGCCCAGTTGAAGAAATCTTCCGCATCTTGAATTGTCGCTTTCTGTGAGTTACATGTACTAGTAACTGCCTCATCTGCCATACGTTTGGATGTACCGACAAACCCATCACAAGGCCATTAACCAGCATGGCCAGCTTCAAAGTAGTTCCAAATGGCGGTATATCAAAAGAGATTTTTGTGTTTCATCACTGTCTCAAATATGTATCGGTTTCTATATTGGCTGGTCGGACTATCTGTCCAGTAATGCACAGGCTGTGTGTTGCGAAGTTCAGGAAGATTTAGAGCATAAAAATCTTGCAAAAGGCCAAGACGGTTGATGATGAATGCATAAGACAGCCAGACACAGCAATAAACCATAGGGTGAAGAGTTACTTGTGACACGTTCCAGTAAGCACTTTGGATTTCGTCCGCTGTTTTGCACGAGTTGCAAAATCCATATGTAGAACAAACTCACCCCAGGGGAGCTTTGTTTTAAGTTCCGAATCTTCAAGTACTGCTTTCGCAATTTTTCGACGTGTTCAGAAAATTCAACCGATTCTTTTTCCCCCCAGTTTAATAAAGTCAGCCTTTGACGTCTCTGCTTGAACAATTTTCATCTTTTATTCCCATCTTGAAGTGTCACACGTTTCCATGTAGAAACCGAAACAGTAATAGGCAATATTTCACAGTCAGCAAACAAACTATGGCGTAAAAATTCTTCTGATCGCAGGTGTTTGAAACTCCAGCATTTTAAGGACAGATGATATAAACTTTTGTCAAAGAATTTGAAAGGAACAACTTTGGTCATGTTTAAATGAATAAAATGAATAACTTTCACCGCGTTGTTGTTAATTTTTTATTCAAATGTGCACAAAAATGGAATTTGAAGTGAAAAATATTTGTATAGATTAATAAGGATGGTTTCAGAAGGGCAGACATTTGAACATCACAGAAGGTTTAAAATTTCTTTATATTCTAGAAATTTATTATTTGCATCATTTGCAATGAAATTAGGCCATTTTTTGTTTGTATCATGTCTTTAAAGCATTTTGAGTTTGAGGAGAAATTTTGGTGCTTTGTACATAAACACGCTTGTTTACTCGAATAGTTTGTTGTCAGAATGTATTTAGGCCTGATTCATTACTATACATAATTCAGCATCTGGATTTTCTAACTGGTATTTCTGATATAGATGTTCCAGATAATCTGTCAGAATCTTAGTCTGAATTTTTTCTTTATCACATTCATCGCATCTTTCTTACCTGGATTTGTACAACAGTTATCTTCTCTTTCAAGGAAAGAAATTACGCTTTCTGCATATTTAGTAACTGTCTACGGACATATTTTAAGTGTTTTCCATTGTGTTTAGACTGAAGTTGTCTCAGCATATTGTCAGTTTTACTTCTTGGTGTCAAGCATGTTTCCTTGTTTTTTAGCCTTTGCATATAATTTCTCCCGTAGCTCTTCATTTTCTGTTAGCAGCTTTTTGATATTTCTACGGGCTTTTGATAGAGCTCTGCCAATACGTTTGCGTGGACCGTTTCTCCTTGCTGAAGACAATTTTACAACAAGTCTCCTTTCCTCTACTTCTGTACAATTTGGGGCAAAACCTCTAGTACTGGGGATATTATCAGAATCCTCGGTCCTCATCTCTTTACCTTTGTTCTTTTGACGATACTTTCTTACTCTTTCTAAAATTTTTATGTTTCTTCTTTTTCTACCTGACTGTGTTAAGCAATCTACAAGGACATAGTTACGCTTCTGTCGGGCTCTCTCTTTGGCTAGATATTTGTCTCCATCCCTCTGCTTCTTTCTTTTACGGTATTGTTTCTGTATCTCAGCTCTTGACAAGGCCATAATGTTTACTACATCAAAAACAGACATTCAATAAGTTCTGATACATCCTGTTTAATTTTACTTTTTAATGAATCAGCTTTTTATTGCTATTTAAAGCAGCAAAACATTGCGAGAACCCCCCCCCCCCCAACTCGCAATTTTAAAATGAAAGCTTTTTTTTTTTTACAAGCATACACAAAATACAACTGCAGATTGACAAAATGTATTCAAACAAAATGTTGAATTAAAATTGTGTTTTAAATCATTATTTTTTTTTCCAGTGTTAATTCCTGTGTCCTATGCCAAAGACCAATTCGAAAATTATTGATTGAAATGATTGTCAGAAAATCCTTCATTGTTTCTTTTCATTTTCTTAGTCATTATTAAAAAAAACAATTTACAAAATTACTAAAGGGGGTTGAGGGGGGGTGTTGTATGTTAATCTCTAGTAGTCATTAACAGTTATTTTATTGACTTTACATTAAAAAATATTTTGATAAATGGTTTAGGACAGTTTTTCAGCTGATTTAGATCCGTAAATGTCAACGTGTAACAGAATAAGATGCATACCCCGGTAAGATAAAATTTATGATAAACTTACAAAATTTTGAAATATCTGGCCCCAGGGCAGGGTGAGTGGTTCCTTCGGGGTGGGGTGCACAACTGGTGGTTATAAAGTGGAAATGAATTTTCTCTTTATTACTCTAATCTACCTCTTTGTATTAAGTAACCAAAGTAAGCATGCTAAGTGTATAATTGTGATGAACAATAGTGCCTCTTTCAAAATTGTGATTTTCACGGCTTCTGGTTTAAAACACGAACCAAATACAATTGTTGGGAAGTTGTTACATGATATTCAGGTGACCTATAAGGCCCGTGGGTCTCTTGCTAGTGAAAACGCAGCTGTCAATGATATCAAAAAGCCTGAACTCTAATTTATCGTGGTGGGTGGTTGTGTATAAAGTCGTAAGTTTTTAAGCTGTTGATTTTCGTAAAATCGTGTGATTTCAAATTGTCCAAAAGTTCTTTGGAATTTTCGAGTATCAACATCTGATTCACACCACTTCTTGAATATATTGTTACACCACTTGAGTATATTGTTGCACAGTACTCTTGATTTTTTTCCTTCACTACTGTCAATATCTTAGTGAGGAGTAAAGAAAGAGGCTTGGTTGAACATTTACTGGAACCCGCTATGTATCTTTAATTTGTAAGGATTCTTATGAAGTTTCGGAATCCATTATAAAGTAGTTCAAAATCATTTTGGTTTTTCGGAATATTAAAAATATTCAAAACTGACATGATTTTGAAGAATTTGTTCCTTAGAAAGGGAACTATGAGTACAAGTTGAATTACCCCTTGTAGATTTTAATCCAAGTTCTTCTAAAATACAATTTATATAATGATTTTCGAACGTTCTATAAGGACAAATGAACTAGACGAACACTCGACTGCAACATGCAAAAGTCGCTGTGAGAGGGGTGGAATGAAAAATCTGTAAACCAAACTTCGTTTCAGTATGTTCAACGGTTGAGAAGAAAATGAACGGAAACTTGGTTAACCGACTGACAAAAGCAAAGCAATATATACATTCCCTTCTTCGAAGCGGGGCATTAAAATGTTTATATATTGCGCACCAATAATTGCGCTTGATTCTGGATTTATTACTCCAAATTCTTACCTCAATTGCAATAAAAGCTAGATTTCAAAAACTTTCTTCTGTATCAAGTTGTACCTGATATCTGCACGAAGCCGCGTTGGACCCAATTAAATTGCAAACTAAAATGGCAGTACATAAGTATACGAAATTTTCGATATGTCTGTTATAGCACCAGGGGGGCTATTAACAAAAATTATAAGGAATGTTTTGTTGTGGAAACAGTGGAATCATATATTTTTAAAAGTCTTTTAGAAAATTGATTTTTAAAATTCCGCACTGATATTGATTTTTTTTATCAGGTGACTAATGACATCTTCGCTAGCCAAGGGTTTCTCAGGTTGTGAATGGGGGTCGACACCACTCGACCAATCAGCAATCGATTTTTGTAAATGACGATATCTGCGTTCGGGATATACATCTTGACTCTTTAATCGCGGGAATGAGAAATGCAAGTTAACAACGATCCGTAAGATACCATGCAATTCTATGAATAGCTATAGTCATCCAATATCTTCTCATCTTTCAAAATATGTGATTAAGAATCTATAATGAAACTGTATATTTGTACAATTAACATAAATTAATTGTTGCTTAATTATTCTGTCGCCCACGTGGCGCAGTAGTTGGAGCGACTGCTCTAAGAGTCGCGAGTTAGGAGTTGATCCTTACGTCGCGAGTTCGAATCCCACTCTGGGTCGTGAAGACCGGTTCTTCGGATGAGACCGAATATCAAGTACCGTGTCGCAGTAGATGCTGGCACGAAAAAGATCCCTCCTTGCTCAATGGCCCTAAGTGCTGAGTATAGGTCAAAATTTGTAGCTCTCCCCCGTGGAAGCAAATGGTGGCGTCTACATGAGTGAAAAATTCTCGAGAGGGACGTTACACAGTATACAATCAATCAACCATATTCCTATTTCCATTTTATGTTTACTTCAGTATATAATTTAATAATTCTGCAAATCAGGGTGAGGCCTAGGGGGCTCGACCCCCAATCTGAGAATCGATGCTCCTCTTTTTCCTTCAGCGGGGGACACTAATTCTCTGAATTAGTTTGTTGGTGTCTTTATTCATAGTGCTTTCACCAAGATTTTTCAGGAAACACACACACAAAGGCAGTCTGGACAGCAGTTGCAAAGCGTAAGCGATCGTTTCAAAGAATCAGGGGCAGTAAGCATATACGAGCTGCCCAATATTTTTTAAAACATTTTTATACCAATGCTATCATTAAGTTGGTTTATTTTTCATATAACAAGATGTCCAGTTTGATGTAGATAGCAATGAAATTTTCAACATTTGATTTGTAGTTGAGTTATCACTATGTGAAGTTGTGTGAATTTTCCGGAATTGAGAAATTTCCATCAAATTCTCACATTCAAAACAAGATTTAGATATGGCCGCAGTCAAACAACAGAATAAAAATTTAATAGATTGTTTAAAATGGCAAATTAAATTATTTCCCAAAATATCATTCTGTTGTTTGCATGCGGCCACCATGAAAAATATATAAAACGATGTTTTTCGAGGCGCGATTTGATCGCTTCCGGTTTCGGTTTTTATATTCAAATGACAGCAGCAGACGTAAACAAAGTTGGAACTTGGATGTCTCAAAAACAGACAATGTCACGAATGTGACAGTAGATTTATCTAACCATTTAGCAGGTAGGGATGAATTGAAAATCAGAGTAATTTTCATTTTGCACGCACTATTTGCATGCATTGCTCAAAATTAAATCCCCTCCCAAACATATATTTATAAAAACATGAAAAATATTTGACATGACAAACTCCGCTAACTCCATGAACTCTGGGGGACGGTAATCATGTCAAACAGTTGTAGCTATGTGTATCTAAAATATATTAAAGAGGAACACAACATGCTATCTTCTTTTAAAGAAAAAAACAGGTTATAATAAGTTGACTTCATCATCGATTCCCTTTGATTTAGGGCATAATCTTCATGAACCCTCGATCGGCCGGTTGATCTGCATCATGCATAATTAGCCGCGTTTTATCAGTTGTGAAAATCTTTACATATACGGAAAATATACATGTATAAGTGCATAGTATGTATAGCATCCGTGTAACTTGCCATTTTGTCATCAAAATTATATTCTGGTTAAATGTACACTCAAGCTGTAGGGGCATGTAGTATGCAGGGATCTTGTCTGATCGAGTGATGATCACCGGTCAGCTTCAGTGATACTTAGGTAATCGGGCAAGAATGTTTTTATATATCACTTTTAATCGATTTGGCATTAAAATATATATATACTACCTTTCTATATTAGGTGTTTTTAAAATGCCAACATATTTTTCTGTCTGAGACAAAATACAACCGAGTCTAGAGCGTTTGTGCATTCAATAATTCAAGGGACCTTACTCTGGTACCTGTGCAAATGGGGCCATACTAAAGACCTGATATACTAAAGACCTGATATTGACCTGATGGAATTTTTTGTAAATAATATTAGAAAATTATGGGTTGTTTATGATTTTTCAAAACTAATTATTGATTATTAACCATAATTCAATGAAAAAATATACTTTATTTGATAAAACATTCATAATTTTATGAAATATTAGCTGAAAACGTTGACCTGATAATTTTCAATTGACCTGATAATTTTTGAATGACCTGATAATTTGTATTATCTTCATAAATATGCAGGGATCTTGGTTTCAAATCCCATTCCAGCCATATATTTTCTCCTTGCTATTACATAATTTCATTCCATTGACCATCCCTGAATCTGCAGATCTATAAAAATCCAGTTGTGGGCAAAAAAAACTTGGGTTGAATCTTTGAGGGAGAGATCTAAAGGTTGATGGTGTGGAACTCAGGTAGTAGAACATGTACACCTGACTAGTGATGCCAGAGTCCCTAGTTCAATTCCAAGTCCAATCATTCATTTTCCTTTCCTGTAAATATTACAGTTTCCAAAGATGCACCATCTTTGCTTGTTTCTAAATATACACCATTTTATACCTTTATTCAGTTGTATAGCAGATGACAATTTAATTCAGGGAATTACATCCATCACTTACAATTAACACACTGGTGGACAGAAAAATACAAAAAAGACTGACTTTTCACCTAGAACAAGTTTTATTGCAAGGGCTTAAGGCATAATATCCCTCTGATAAGAGAGATAACCTTCAGAGCAAATCAATGAGTTTAATAAGGAGGACCATTTTGTAATCAATTAAATTAAATCTGATGTATGGTACAAATGTTGATTTCCATGTTCTTTTACCACTATTTTTAGCTCTACTGGTCAGAGACCAGAAGAGCTTATGCGATAGTAATGCGTCCGGCGTCCGTCCGTCTGTCTGTCCGTCTGTCTGTAAAGAATTTTTCAAAATGCTACTCCTCCTACAGTTTTGGTCTAATTTCAATATAACTTGGCACACAAGTAGACTACACTAAGATACATAATTCTGTGTATCGGTTTTTGATTTCAATGAACGGTGTTGCCGTGGTTACTAAAAATAGAAATTTCTGTGAAATTCTTTCAAAATGCTACTCCTCCTACAGTTTTGGTCTGATTTCAGTATAACTTGGCAAACAAGTAGACTACACTAAGAACATAAAGGGACTTTATCAACGATCATTATTCTATTTATTGCTGTTGTAAAGTTTCAAATCCCAGCTGCTTAAGTACTTTTCTCTTCCTTTGCTATAAGTTCAAACCAGTAGAGCTTCAGTCTCGACAGAGACTTCTGGTTTTTTTATTTACCTGATAAATATGGTTAAATTTATGTTACAATTGACCATATTATAGTTCAATAACATGGTTTTACTATAATATAAGTATGTTATTTTAAATTATATAAATATTTGATGCAAATCAGTAAAATGACATTATTTTTTATATGACCTGATCATTATACTAAAGACCTGATAATTTCAATGCCCTTATATTATTGGATGACCTGATGATTTTAAAATGCCTGGTATATTTAATTTATTTTTTTCTCCTAGAATTAAGACATATCTAATTATTATCAAATATATGCCGATTATCACAAATTAGATTTTTTTACGGCATGACCTGATAATTATACTAATGACCTGATATTTTTAATGAAAAGCCTAATTTTTCTAGGATAAACTGTATATATTTATTAAGATTTTATAAAATGTAAATTAAAACGCTATTAGATAAAGACTAGCATGAAATATAGAAATTTCCTGATATTTTCATTGACTTGATATAATGTTATAAACCGAAAATTTAGCAATTGACCTGATAGTTATGTTCCCCAAACGAAGTTGGGGAACATATTGTTTTTACTCTGTTTCTTATTATTATTATTATTATTATTATTTTTCTTCTTCTTCTTCCTGGGACTTTTTTGTCCGCGGGAATGATCTTGTAAACTTTTCGTCCGATGTAGGTAAAACCTTTTTAGGGTCAGTCCCCGTTACAATTAGCACTAGTTTTAGTTGACCTGATGGTTTTAAGTGACCTGATGGTTTATAACGACCAGATGGTTTTTAATGACCTGATATTTTTTAAGGTACTGTAAAATATTGTTAGTGTTTTTCAGATAAGAACTCTTAGCCATATATGCAAGTCATTAATTGTTGAATTTTTTTCATATTTTGGTTCTATTCTTAATCAGTTCTTGTAGCTAATAAGCAGCTGGATTGAATGTTTGCAACTGTAAGGCAAATGAGGCTGCTACATTTGTACATTTTTAGTGTCTATGTGGAGTGCATAGCCAATCATCGTCATCTTCTACACCAGCACATGTACGATGTCTCCATACTGAACAGCTGCCAAATGGAGCGTCACATCCTATCATCTCCTGCATGAGGTTTGGTAATCTACATTTACAAATGATATCTTAATCATTATTAATCTTCAACGATCATAAAAGTGATGTTTTTGAGTTTCAAAATTTTGTCATCTAACTATCTTTTGTATAGCGTTTGATAGAATATTTATAAATGTGTTCGTATTGCAGATTTATATAAATATTGAAATATAATTTATATCCATGTACACAAATATCTAAAACATGTATTATATTCATATATTTATATATTAGCTCCCCGGGGGCCTAACAAGTTAGTCTCCTTTCTTTGTAATACCTGGCTGGGAGTTAGGACGTGCAATGGGTGAAAACTTCATACAACATATACAGTTATATTGCAGTTAACCCCGGGTCCAGCATTATCTCCTCCCAGAAGCTCCCGAAGGAACTCAAGACACAGATATGAAAGGAGGTGTATTTACATGTAAAAATAAATAAAGACATGTACTTAGTTGTCACCGTTAGGTATCCGTACATGTTATACTATACCTGTGGCAATAGTTAGCTGTTCGAGTTTTTGAATAAAAATTAAAACTTTACTTTATATTAACCAAGCCAAAGTTGTCAAATATGACCCCGAGCAGCATAACTTATGCGAATTCCAGAACGATGATATTACAATAATAAATAATAAATATTGAAATTGTTTATTACCTAAAAAATAGGAAATTGCACGCAGCGACAAAAGCGAGATAAATGCGATAACACACGGTACTCATCTTGAAAAATCAAGAGGAATTTAATAAAATGAGTAAAATCTGGATATTTTATAGTCTTAGAATATAATTTTTGAGACGATAATTTGATTTATTCCCGCCCATGTAAATTGAAAAACGCCAATGAATTTGTTTAATCTTAATTACTTCCAAATTAAAATTGTGTTGTCCAATGAAATAAAGATCGCTTTTCGGTTTAACCAATCTTTCAATAAACACTCGCGCATCTTAATTTGCTAGAAATAGGTATCCGAACTACGTTTCACCCAATCATGTACAGCTTTTAAAGCAATATGTAATAGAGAGATTTTAAATGAGGTTAAATATTTGTTTGCAACTTCAATTATGCGGCGGTTTTTGATGGTTTCTTGATCATGCTGATCACTGTATCAATCAATCGATTAACGGCCAGTTAATGAGTTTACGTGTTTTGAAAAAAATTAAATAACCTGCACACTAGGATTAATTATGATGATAAAAAGTAGTTTTTACAAGAATTATTATTTATAATAATTAGTACGATGCTATCAACCATAATTACAAATCTATGAATGCACATTTGCATTTCCAAAGATAAATGACATAAAAAAAAAGAATTTCCAAAAACTTAAAATAAGTATTTAACAAGAAGTCTCTGTCGAGATTGTAGCTCTACTGGTTTGTACTTATCAAAAACCATTGCACTATTTTATGTATCTTTGTGTAGTCTACTTGTGTGCCAACTTAGTTTGAAATCAAACTAAAACTGTAGAAGGAGTAGAGTTTGAAAGGAATTTCACAGAAAATTTTATTTTTAGTAACCATGGCAACACCGTTCATCGAAATCAAAAACCGATGCACTATTCTATGTATCTTAGTGTAGTCTACTTGTGTGCCAAGTTATATTGAAATCAGACCAAAACTGTAGAAGGAGTAGCGTTTTAAAGGAATTTCACAGAAAAATCTATTTTTAGTAACCATGGCAACACCGTTCATCGAAATCAAAAACCGATGCACTATTTTATGTATCTTTGTGTAGTCTACTTGTGTGCCAAGTTATATTGAAATCAGACCAAAACTGTAGAAGGAGTAGCGTTTTTAAGGAATTTCACAGAAAATTCTATTTTTAGTAACCATGGCAACACCGTTCATCGAAATCAAAAACTGATGCACTATTCTATGTATCTTACTGTAGTCTACTTGTGTGCCAAGTTATATTGAAATCAGACCAAAACTGTAGAAGGAGTAGCGTTTTTAAGGAATTTCACAGAAAATTCTATTTTTAGTAACCATGGCAACACCGTTCATCGAAATCAAAAACCGATGCACTATTCTATGTATCTTAGTGTAGTCTACTTGTGTGCCAAGTTATATTGAAATCAGATCAAAACTATTGGTGTTGCGTTTTAAAGGAATTTCACAGAAAATTCTATTTTTAGTAACCATGGCAACACCTTTCATCGAAATCAAAAACCGATGCACTATTCTATGTATCTTAATGTAGTCTACTTGTGTGCCAAGTTATATTGAAATCAGACCAAAACTGTAGAAGGAGTAGCATTTTAAAGGAATTTCACAGAAAATTCTATTTTTAGTAACCATGGCAACACCGTTCATCGAAATCAAAAACCGATGCACTATTCTATGTATCTTAGTGTAGTCTACTTGTGTGCCAAGTTATATTGAAATCAGACTAAAATTGTAGGAGGAGTAGCGTTTTGAAAAATTGTTTACAGACAGACGGACAGACAGACAGACAGACAGACGGACGGACGCCGGACGCATTACTATCGCATAAGCTCTTCTGGTCTCTGACCAGTAGAGCTAAAAATAACTTTTAAGAATATAGTTTTTACTTACTAACAATAAAACGATGTAATTTAATGAATGAATGTATACAAATACGTACAATGATTTTAGTTACATGTATTATCCTTTGGACCATTAGTAGAAAATATCAGGTCAATAAAAATATCAGGTCATTTCTTTCACGTTGTTAAAGACTCGATACAGATTTATAACAATACTTTTAAAGAACAACATTATACTAGACATACCTAGCTATACGTATATACTTATCTGTACTTTTTGTAGAAATTAAAAAATAATAGAACAACCAACAGAGATAACACAGATACTTATATTTCCATCAGGTCAATAAAAATATCAGGACAATACATTTTCCGAGTTTCTGGATCGTTCCACATAATAATACCAATATTTTTTTTAAACATAATTATACCTAATATATCTGTCTTAAATCCCTGACATATAAGAATAACAAAAAATAAAGATAAACACAGAAAACACTGAGATTTCAAAAGTTTTTATTTCCATCAGGTCAAAATCAGGTCAATAAAAATATCAGGTCAATACACTTTCATAGCTTACGGCTCGTTACGCATAATTTTACCAATATTTTTTAACACAAACATACCTAATTTATCTGTCCTATTAGCGATCAATATAAGAACAACAAAAAATAATGATAAAGACAGAGAAGACGGAGATTTTATAAGTTTTTATTTCCATCAGGTCAATATCAGGTCAATAAAAATTATCAGGTCAATCCATTTTCCTAGTTTATGGCTCGTTCCCCATATTTATACCAAAATTTTTTTTTTTTTAATTATACCTAATACATCTGTCTTATACCCCAGTAATATAAGAATAACCAAAAAGTTAAGATAAACACAGAAAACAGAGAGATATTATTAATTTTTTTTTCATCAGGTCAATATCAGGTCTTTAGTATATCAGGTCTTTAGTATCTTCCGTGCAAGTGTATGGTGTGCAATAACAGTCAAAAACATAAAAAAAAAATGGTACGAGGTTTTTTTTGGGTTGGTTTGTTTGGTTTTTCTTTTTTTTTCTTTTTGGTAAAACGAAATAAAAAAAAGTTAGTTTCTTTAAAATTAGCTAATATCACTAAATCTAATTAATGTTCTTTGCAGAATAAATAATATAAATTCTTTCTACATGTATTTTTCTTGTGGGGACAATGTATTTTTTAAAACCAATTGATTAAAATAATATTGATGTAAAATTAACCTTTTGTAAGTAATTAAAAAAAATAATTAGATTACCTTGGAATATTATAAATGAATTTAAATCAGTCCATTTAAAAAAAAAAAATGTTTGTCATTACAAGATTCATCTAGCTTTTAATTTTGTTTTAATTTAGATTACCCAATAATGTCTTTGCCTCTGATTTTTATTCATTAAACTCAAAAAGGTTAATCAATAAAACTGCTATCTAAATTGATTTCATGAATGAAATAATTATATATTATACCTGGTAACATTAACTTTTATATATTAGTTAAATATTGGTTACAAGCATCCATGCATTATACATTAATATGTGAATAGATTAGTTATTGCTTAAGTTTTATTTGTAATATTGGTATTTTTTTTCTTACTAAAATCTTAATTACCTTGAAAATGATAATTTTCATATTACTCAAAAAATATTTTTTTCAAAATTACATGCTTGTTTCTTTCTTTTATTTCCTTCTTTCATATATAAAGAAAAAAATGCAAATGTATATATAAACTATATGCACTGTACATGTAAACCCTCCTCCTTCCATAATTAAGGACAAAATGTGCATGCATAATATATATAGTAATTTAATTTTGATATTAATATTTAAATTGTAGAATGCCTGGAGATGGCCCTAAACAACATCCTTGTATATCTTGTGGGAAAAGAACCAAAGCTGATCAAAGACGTTTCATAAGGCCTGGATCTTCTGAATCGTACAAACTATACCTTCAACATTTGGGACTTTCTGTTAATTGTGAAAACTATGTATATGTTACATGCCTGAACTGTTATACGAAATTCTACAAGTCCATAAAGAAAACTTCAAAAGAAACAGAGCAAGATTATGAACCACCGGCAAAGTCTCTGAAATCAGATGCCAAAAGTCCGAACATTATTCCATTGCCCATAGTTTCATCAGGAAAAAGTCACTCATCCTGTGTCATATGTAAGAAGAGGACATCAAGGCTCCTCACCCTGTCTGCAGAGAGACGGCATCATATATTCATTTTATCAGGACACCTCCTGCTGTCGGGTGCACGGTGCTGCAGATCCCACTTAGCACCAGACTTTTCTCTGAAAGATGATGCTATGAGATGTCTGGAGAACCCATCTTCTGGCTCCAGGTCGGTACATGACACCACCTACTTCAACAAAACAGACATTTTTTCTCTGATTTCGACAATAAGAGCAGCAGCAATTAGAAATAAGAAAAACAGATTAGACTTTGACAGCAGCGATGGCCTCTCTGACGCAGATTATGTGAATTTAACAGGAATTTCCAGAGCAGATTTTGATGATGTAGTGTCGCATGTGCAGTCGATTAGAGCTACGAAGAATCGCAGCATCAGAGCCTGTATTGCTCTTCTACTGGTGAAACTAAGGACTGGTCTTTCCCATCGAATGCTATCAACACTCTTCAACATTGAAAAATGTGGTGTCAGAAGGGCAATAACAACAGCCAGGAGAGAACTTTCTGAGACTTTTACTCCTAAATATGTGGGATTTGATCATATCTCAAGGGAAGAGATTATCCAGGACCACACAACGCCACTTGCTAAGGAGCTGTTTGGCAGTGATCTACACAATCCAGCTATTTTAGTTGTGGATGGAACCTACATTTTTATCCAAAAAAGTAGCAACTTTAGGTTCCAACGCAGGTCATACAGCCAGCACAAAAACCGCCCTCTAGTCAAGCCGATGGTTATAGTGTCTACAACCGGCTACATAATATCAGTCCTCGGACCATATTTTGCAGACCAGAAAAACAACGATGCGAGCATCCTGAAGCACAACATTCTGTCCAACATGGAGAACATCAAAGATTGGCTGCATCAGGAGGATGTCCTCGTAGTGGACCGTGGCTTCAGAGACTCAATCAGTTTCCTTGACAGCTTGGGAATCAGATGCCAGATATTCTGCCTTTCTTCCAAAGGGCCAGAAACAACACACAACAGATGAGGTATAAAAATGCACACACACACATAATACTTCATTTTAAAACTCTTTTTTAATCAAAATTAAAAGAAAAAAGAAGTTTATAATAATTTATTTATATTTCAATCTTATACACTGTTATAGTATATTAATGATAAAAGTCAGTAATAATTGACATGCTCACAATGTAAACACTTAATTAAGAGTAATTACATTTTTTGTACCCCAGTTTACAATGTATATATATTTTTTAATGTTTTGCAGGCGAATACTTCGAGACTGGTCACCAAAATCCGTTGGATTGTTGAGTCGGTAAATGGACGACTGAAACAGTGGAAGTTTTTGCAAAATGTTGTCCCGAATACCCAGATACCCTTCATCAGGGATTATGTGTGCTTGGTTGCAGCTCTCTGTAATAAGTACAGACAACCCTTAAATGCTGGAAACCCAGAAAATGATGTGATTTTAGCCGCTAAAATGAAGGTAAGGACATGCCAGTATTTATTTCATTCCTTTTTTGTGAATTTATTAATATAAAATATACAAATTGTCATCATTAATTTAAAATCTCTATTAAATTAAAAGAAATATTGTGTTTTATATTGAATTTTTCATTACACTCATGTCCAAAGTTCAAAAACGTTTTTTTTGATTAATTTATGCATGTATTAATAGCTCATATGTGATAAAATTGGAATCTGAAGTAAAAAAAAAAAATTCTCTTATATAGTTCTTAGCATCTCAGACGAACAAACTTCAGGAGAGAGTGGAATCTGAAGGACTTCACAGAAGAGTCAAGTCATGGACCCCAATCAATGCTGCTGATTCATTGGACTTTCCATGTCTCTCAGAGGAGGATCTGTGTAATTTGACTATCGGTGTTTACCAATTAAAGCTGGCTAAGGGGTACACTGCTCAGCACATGGATGAAGAAGGTGATTACGTCATCATGGTAAATGCTGATATTCCTGATGTTCTGCGGATAAGGATCAAGAGTCGACATATTTCAAGTAAACAATACCTTCTTTGGATAGAGCACTCAGAGGGAGCTGTTACTGGTTGGTATTGCCAGTGTCGTGCTGGAGCCAGAGTTGTCGGGGCATGTGCCCATGTGGCTTCAGTTTTGTGGTTTCTCGGCTACGAGAGACACAAAAACTTTGCAGTGAATACTACTCAAGACTGGGCTGACTATCTTGAAGATGCAGCTGTGCTTCCCGACTCATCAGAAAGTGAAATGAGCACAACTGAAGAGTGACAAGAATTGTGCCATTGATTTACATCCACTGCATCATTTCTTAAGGAGGCTGGGGGGTCAACAAATTAACCATAAATTAACCACCAGATTTAACTTATTTTTTAGATATGGTATCTTTTAATCTGTCAACTATCATTTGGCAAAGAAAAAAAATCATACATTTTAGTTTTAAAATTTTATCATTTTTGTATATCTTTAAATGGAGCTCTTCTTTTAAAGGAGATCAAAATAGTCTAAAAATGGCTGCCACACCCCAGCCTCGTTAACATCTGTTATATAATTGAGAAATTAAAAATAGTACATTGTACATCCAAATAACATATTAGATTCATTGCATGAGTTTAACAAGTTCAGTTGTAAATATTGAAAGAAATGATTTGTTATTATCATCTGATTATACTTCATGAATTATTGTTGTCAAAATTAATATACTGATGTAAAATTCATAATGCATCACAAAATGTTTCTTAGATGAAAGTAACTTTTACAGTTTATTATGCAATGCGTTGATTTGCGTATTGAACTTTGTTAATTTAACATGACTATATACAAGTACTTGTTATTTTTTGTAGTACAATGTAATTACAAAACCTTTCCAGACAAACATATTGTACTAGTATAACTAATTCTTTGATGCTTAATTCATTTTTATGACATTGTGAGGATGATAAACATTATCTTATTTTGAGTAAATGTAGTGTATAAGGCATGTCAGTGGTGTGATGTTTAACGTCTGTGATCTTTTTGGTAAAAAGTATACTAGGTGGATGATGGGAGTTCTGGAATTTGTTTATGCAAAATGAAATCCCTTATTGATATTTTTGTCAAGTTTAAATGAATTGTTATTAAAAATGTTAGTTGAATACATTTCTTGTTTGTTCACTTTGAGCATTCAAAGTCTTTTTATGTTAAATACATAAAATAGTACTTGTCTTTGAAAAATTAACATTTTTCTGTGAATTCAAAATAATATAAACTTAAGGGTTATTTCTCATTTATAGTTTCTGATAGAGTTAATAGGATTTTATTTAAAATATTTTTAACGTAAAGTACATATTGTGAGTGGAGTCCATTCAAAGACATCTTAAGTTCCCAGGTATCTGATTTTGAACATAAAAACAACTGTTTTACATTAAAATCCGTTTTTTAAACTACTTTTAGCTAAATAAATAGTTTCTATTCACATGTTAAAGATCATTTCTGTTGTATTTGTATTAAAAATCCATCTTTTATATCTTCGATTATATTTACAGAAAAAAACTTATTAAATATTTCCAGAAATCAGTGAAAATTGTGTTATTTTTGTATTGACCCCAAAATGTCTTAAAAGTGGTTTATTCGTGAAAATATGTCCGAAAAGGTGTGATTCAATCATAATTCGTTTAATATTTATAATATTTGGTCCATTATGGTTGGGGCATATTTAGGGCCTTAATGCCCCTGATTCTTTAAAGGCAATCATTCTCTGAGTATGTAATATTTAAACTGTCGTCTTATAGCTCTGATGTTTGGTGTATTTGGCTTCAGTCTGGCAGTTTTTGACAGGCGCGGATCATCAGATCAAATTAAATAAAACTTTAGAAATCAGTTGCACTCTATTAATCCATAAAACAGAGCATATTAACACTGGACTTTTTAAGAAAAATAACGTCATGTTTTTGCGTACTACGTCATCAGTTTCAGAGAGTGGTGAGATGGATTAAGAAAACCACAGTGTGGTGATCCAGAAAGTCGGATCATAACTGTGGTGATCCAGAAAGTCGGATCATATTGTCACAGTAAAATTGAGTGATACATATTAGGTATATAATAAACACTTTCAAAGTGATAACTTAAGTCTTGAAATATCACAATCAATTCATTAAGTATGCATTACACAGAGATCTGAGAGTCGCCTGCATGGCGCAGTAATTATAGAGCGTCTGCTCCAGAGTTACGAAGAAAGGAGTTAATCCTTATGTTGTGGGTTCGAATTTCACTGTGGGATGTGGAGACCAGTCCTTCAGATAAGACTGTATGAACCGAGGACCTGTGTCACAGTAAATGCTGACATGAAAAAGATTCCTTACTACTCAAAGGCCCTGAGTGCTGAGCATTGGTCAACATTTGCAGCTCTCCAGCATGCAGTGTCAGCTCCTTGTGCGTGAAAAAGCTTTCCTTTTGTCCTTTCACTGAATTGTACAGATCAGGGTCATCAATAATGTTTTTATAAAATATGTATTTTATATATGTGTGTTTTTCTTTTTAATGATTTAATGGGAAGGGGGTGGGCACAAGCTAGATGCAAGTTAGTTAAAATTTGTATTAAATAGATCTACATACTTCTGTTAAAATCGAGTACACAATGTCCCTACATCAAATCAAAATTTAGAGCAATACGATTTCTATTTCTAACATTTATAATCTTTGCATTAAACCATAGATTAAAGCTGGTAAATAGCATTATCTGAGAATGTGCTATGTGCCTACTGAAACACTGCTAATCATGCTGACGTGTTCAAACCTCATATATATTAACAATGATGATGAACTAAAAACATATTCATAGGTCTTACCAAAAACAACCTTTGAAATAATGTCAAATGCGCCTGTACTCCCCCTTTTTCCCGTTTCTACCGGGCAAACACGTGCAGGTGTTGTTTTTACACCTAATATGCAACACGGAACCAAGACCAGAGCGTTTTCCCCACACAGTGTTAAGAAAGTGTAGTAGCGTTTAGTATTATTTGGATATAGAGTGTTCCATTCGTTAAAACGATAAATGTCCTACGATAGAATTCCTTCCGTGTATTCACTATGTAGGAAAATAAACATGGACGGTAACTCGAACTCAGTGCATTGACTAGGAAAAATCCGGAGAATTCCGAATGTAGACATGGCGTATTATTTTGAAGCGAGAAAAATACGTTGATTTTTTTTTTGGTCTTTTTTGGATTATATTTTAGGTTTAAGGTATTTAATGTATAATGGTGTAAATTCTTTTGTATTCTTCAAAATCGTTTCGGTACGAATCTGCAATTTTTTGCGAGTATATGAGGTATTCTAACTGTGGTGAGGGCTTGTTCCAAGACACATAATTTAAGTCATTAAGATAATTCTAACTAAAACATCAGAGTGGAAAGGTAACGTAATTCTACGATTCGTCTACCTGCTGCCCATTCTTCCGATGTTTCGTCGATGGCCCCACCACATACTTCAACTTCGCACCCGATGTTGGCCAGGGCACCATCAAATACAACCGCTTTGTCTTGATTTATGGCTTGATATCTGTTTGTTTTTTTTTCGCAAATGTGCACCTCGATTTTAGGATTTTTTTTTTAAGGATTTTTTACTTTCATAATCAAAGCTTTCGAACTGTCCGTGTTTATCTATGTTCGTCATGACGTAGTCGTGTGCACGTGTATCTGGACGCGTCTCTAAAACGCTTTTATGTTAAATCAGATAAACGTTTGCATTACGAGAGGACTTCCGAAAAGATTTCATTTCGGATACTGTTTTGTCCTATTTTAAGATTAAAATTATAGACGTTCTACATAGTTTTCTCTTCTTAATTTGTCACAGACCTGGTATAATCATACTGAGGGACGTGATCACCGGTTCTTTATATTACTCTGTAAACTGAGGTCCTGTGTCACAGTAGATTCTAGCACGAACAAGATGTGTTTGTGGAATTACAGCTTATGGCGAGGGTTGAAGATTCTCAAATGCAAGTCAAATTCTAAGGTCAAAATTGTGAGTCAAATGATTATGAAGAGATTGCTCCTTAGAAACGGCGTGATGGCAATCTTAAGGATGACTGGACCCTCATGGGAGGAACGACCGTCCAGAATAAGAAGTTATCTAGCCTTGCCGCATATTTCAGGATAACTTATTTGAACCACAGGTGTCCAACCTCGTCAGTCATCAAAGAGTTAGCCATGAAATGTCACTTCGTTCTTGTCTGCATGTTCGTGTTCGAACGAACTGGATTCAAGGTTTCGTTGCAGTTTAAGGTATGTTGTGGCTTGTCATGGAGATTAAGCTTTGTCATCAGCGAGTTTAAATCTTAGAAGTTGCTCCTCATGACAACGGGATTTGTCATCCGAGCTCTTGTGATGTTGAGTTCTTCAGCATTCTTGAAAGCAATTTCTGAGTGGCGTTATTGAATTTCTCAAACCTCTCTTTTCCAGAACTCTTCCCTTGCGGTTTGAATTTCCGGGTTAGGTACCAACTGTTTGAAGTAGCGGCCACCCGGATACTCCCATTCGTTGAGAAGCAGACTACTTAAGTGCACCTGCGAATTTACTCTCTGCTTCCATCAGAATGATTTATCCACGCCCAGGCTTTCCAGGGTTCTCTAACTTCCTCTTGATTATAGACCGTGCTTTTATTGACGTAAATTCTACGAATGCTAAAGTTTGGAAAAGACCGTATAAACTTTTGTTGCAGAACGTGTTGGAACAAAAAAAAATTCCTGACTGCTTACTGGCACTGTATGTTTTGTAAAAGTCTACATTTGTACAAGTATTATGCTAAAAACATTATAATTGGGGCATTGGTTAGAGAGGATGCTTTAGAGACGCGGATTACATGTAAGGAGTTGATCCTTAAGTCGCGGGTCCGGATGAGACCATATTAAAACGGGTTCCGTTTCAAATTAGTTGTTGGCACGAAAAAGATCCCTCACTGCTAAATGACCACGATTGTCGAGTAAAGGCCAAAATTTGCTGCCCTCCACCAGTAAATGTGACCTCTCCATTTGAGTGAAAAATTCTCGAGAGGGACGTTAAACAATGAACATCCAGGTCAGGGGTACCGGGGGTGGGGGATGTACTTTGTCTAAAAATAAATTAATGCTCTGAAATCTGCTCTTTAATAAGCAATGGTACCTCCTTCAAATTTTGTGAATTTCATGACTTTTGGATTAAAACATGAACCAAATACAATTGCTGGAAAGTTGTCACATGATACTCAACTCGACCTTCAGATATATCGACTACGTATTGTCAATTAACAATGGTAATTTCCATTCCTACGTGGATACGATATATCCAGGAGAGCTTGAGATAAAAGATACCACAGACTCTGACACATCTGTTTCATACTTGGATATTTTACTTGAAAAAGACGTTAATGGTAACCTAACAACCAAGTTCTATGATAAACGTGACGACTTTAACTTTTCTATCGTCAACTTCCCTTACTTATGCAGCAATATACCGCCATCACCTGAATACGGATTGTATATATCTCAGTTAATTTGATACGCAAGAGCATGCTCTAAGTACGAGCAATTTCTAAAACGAGGTAAATTATTGACAAACAAGCTGATGAAACAAAAATATCAGCAGTCTCGTTTTAAGTCATCATTTCGTAAGTTCTATGGTCGATAC